ATGTAGACCAGGCTAGCCTTGAACTCGAAGAGATCCACCTGCCTCTGCCTCTCAAGTGCTGGGACTACAGGCATGTGGCACTACACCCAGCAAAAAGGGGCATACTTTTGTGATAAAATCAGAATGTTTCCACTTCCACTAAATTCATATTGGATTGAAAAATGAAAGCACGTAGGACATGGCACTTTATTCACTTATACGATAGCTGGTTCTGTGTGCTGCTCTACAACCCCATATCCCATACTATGCAGATCTAGTCAAACATTTCCCATGACAGTATTATTGCAAACTATTTCTGTCACTTGATTTTTCTCTTAACCTCAGTAAGCATATGAACATTAGATTTCAGTTTCGAGTTAAATGTACTTAGAACTAGAGCCCCAGCATGTGTAGAAAGTGTCCTGTGTATACACTGCTATTGTAGCAATGTATGTGCACACTTAATCACATATTAAGGACTGTGCCTGTCAGTATTTTTCTCACTTGCCTACTCTTTCAGCCCAGTGTCCATCTCTGCCACCGTATGCAAATGCACTTCCAGATAGAACGTCTTTACCTGCAGCTCAGCATGCAGTATCTTGGCCACAAGGAAGATGTACTTGTCCTCGCTCCTTTTGTTGTATTCTTGCACAGCAAACCACACACACTGCTTCACGTTGGAATTCGAGGTGTTGATGTTTATAAAGGACTTCAGCGCCTCCACTTCATTGCTGCGTGGATCTGTGCTGTCTGCCAGGACCACTGGAATGGTTAGGAGGATTAGAGAGAGCCACCAGGATCTCATCATGGTCCGTCGGTCAAAGGCACAAAAGATCTTCTTTGGGTCCTTCTCAGGACTGGAGCTGCAATGGGACAGTCACTGAAGCTGCTGTAGGGTCTGTCAAACTAAATAACACAGAAAGGAGGGCCCCTAAAGACTGGTTATGGGACTGAGGAGATGGCTCAGGGTAAACGTGCTTGCAATACAGGTGTGAGGAGCAGAGTTTGGATCTCCAGCACCCGTGTAAATGGCCAGGTGGATTTGGCAGCCCACCTGTAATCCCAGCACACAAGAGACAGAGACAGGAAATCCCACAAGCAAGCTAACTAGCTAGACTAACCAAATTGGCAGCTCCGGGTTCAATGGAGAGACCCTGTCTCAATATATAGGGTGAAAAGCAGCCGAGAAAAATATCTGATGTTAATCTGTCATCTCCACACACACACACATGCTCAAGCACCGCCCACACACATGCACATGTGAATACGCATGCATACACATGAATATGACACACATACACACACACGCGCACACGCACACACACACAAAAATGTAATTATTTTTATTTGGGAACAAAGCCTTGCGGTGGGACTGTGTGCATCTTAGTAAATAATGAACACATTCAAGGAGGCTGAAACAAGAAGCTCTTAAAAACAAAATGAGAATTACATAAGGCATTTGAAATGAAGCCTTAGCTGAAGGGTTAATAGTATAACAGAGATGGCATCAGCCCAAGGTTAAATACATAGAGGTGGGCAGCAGTTCTTGCAGATGTAGGCTTTGTGTAACGTTGCACGGCTTTTGTGTAAGATTATAGTTCTGGCGGTCTCTTGGAATGGTGTTTGTTATCAGGCGCACAAGCACCAGCTCTGCCTCCCCTTCACAGCTTCCAGCTTTGTGTTTTATTTATTATCTTGGTTAAGGCTTGACAAAAATGACTCCATTTTGATTTCGATCAATTTCACAGTTCAAGGATCTCACAAGAAGCTCCCTTCTCAATATAGACCCAGCTGTGTTCTAGACACAGCCCTTATGGTTATCCCCGAGACCTTCTTCTTGTCAAGGAAGCCCACAAATAGCATCCCAGATAAAGAGGCTCTGCCACTGGCCCTCACTTCCTGCCATCATCCTGGGTGCAAGCCACATTTCTTGAGGACCATCCCCGCTGGGGACACCCTGGTATGTCCTCCCCTGGCCCCACGCCACTGTCACCTACTCTTTCTATTGCATCTCAGCCCTGTTGTTGGAGCTGTGAGAGCTACTGTGCCCCGCGGTCCCCTGGCCCTACCCATTTGCGAATCTCCAACCTGCTCAATCTTGCTGGCCTCTGTCCTCGCTCTGGCTGTCCCAGTTTTTGTTTTTCCTGGGTCTCCAGCACTTGAAGCTTGCACTTATGTTCTGACCAGGCAGCTCTGTGAGTCCTGACCTTAGAGCCCAGGCCCTACAGGGAGGTCATGCTTTGTGATGCAATCTAACACCTGTGACCCTGTCTCATAGGAGCTTCCATCTTCTGGCCTCTAGCCTTTGGGACCAAGCAGTTCAGAGGACTGTAGACAGCAGGCAAGTACCTTCCACTTTGTCCGTGGAATGAGTCCCATTGAAACTCCTGTGCATACTTGTGTCATGACCCCAGCCTACAGAACACCTTACCCCTGAACTCCCTGTGTTTTGGCTAATAGCTCCTCCTTCCCCTGTTCTACCAGGCTCTGGCCTGCTGTGATTTCACAGATTCTGCTTTTGTGTGAAGACCCCAAATCCATCTCCAATAAGTTTCTGGAGGGACAGAGAGGTGGACATTTATCCCAGGCTTCAAAGACCGACAGTCTTTTGACTACGAGGAGAGACCACATGCAATATAAGCAGGTTATACACGTAAGTCTACCAGGCAGGCTATAAAGCAGTATGGAGAGTGAACCCCCCAGATGGCACTAAACTCTCTGCTGTTGGATTTCTTGGTGGCATCTCATTATCAGCTATGGCCAACAGTACTAGTAAACGCTTCCTTTATTCTGAGAAATCTTACAAAAGACCATTTAGGGAATCGTTACAAGAGCTTTACAGAAATGAAATTTACTATTAAGGCCATATTACTAATCACTGACTAATGTGTTCATGTTTATTTTTATCATTTTGTTTCATATAAAAGTGCCTCAGCAGTGTTAGAATACCAGACTATAGCTTACCAATAAAATCGGAGAATCTGGAAGTGGATTCAGGAAACCAGCAGTTTTTAAAGTTCCTCCCAGTGGTGCCGATGTGCAGCCAACTTTAGAACTACTGCAGCGCTTCTTGGATATTAATAAGAGTCTGAATCCTGCAGGCCCTGTTTAAATGCAAGTGTTCATTCATGGGTCGGGAGCCAGGCCTGAGATTCTGGGTTTCTAACCAGCTCCCAGGTGATACAATGCTGTGATCACAGTTGAAATAGGGAGATGCTGGATTGTGACAGTCCTCCACTTCTTTACCTTCAACCTAGTTATTCTTTCTCAGTTGGCTAGAAGAATAATTATATGGTATTGATTTGATTTCATTTGTGTTATTTGTGTCATTGGCAAGAATAAACATGCTTTCCTTAGTATTTCTTCTGCTGCTAACGTCTGACTCATTTTCCCTATTTCTCCCAGTGTGATCTTTGTCCCTTTTAAATTAATGTCAAAAGTCACTGAGGAACATTAAAGGAATTAATGTTTTGTTTTAGATATACAGAGTCTTGCATCTAATAATCTTCCAGCTTCTGAACTTATGCATATTTGATATTTGCTGTTAATATTTTCCACTAAAATTTTTAAATTTTAAAAAATATTTTTACTTATTCTTTGAAAATTTCATCCATGTAAATGATGTACTTTGATCTCATCCAACCTCCACTACCTCCTCCAACTCCCCCTGGAATCCATTTCCTTCCCAAATTCATGTCCTTTTCATGTTTATTATTATTAATATTATTATTATTAGACTCCTGAGTCCAATTAATGCTGATCATATATGAATGGGTGTGGGGCCAGCCACTAGGGCATAGGCAATCTACGAGCAGCCACTTTCCCAGAGGAAAATTTAAAATTTTTTATGTGGACAAATTTATCTATCTTTTTCTTCCTAATTTCTAACTTTTGTGACTTTTATTAAAAAGTCTTCTTGACTTAAAAAATTAACTCATTTTATGCTGGACAGCCTCCGTTGTCAACTTGACACACCTGGGAAGAGGGAATCTCAGTTTTGAAATTCCCTCTATCAGACTGGCCTGTGGGCATATCTGTGAGGCATTTTCTTGATTGTTGA